TCTGAAGCCAGCAGACATATGGGCTGAGAAACTGAAGCCATGTACTTCATAAAATGAGATAAGGTGGCATTAGGTCACAGTGCCCAACTGCAGAGCCCTTGGGACTTCTGTTTTTGGTAAATGAGCAAATTATGATGTATGCATGTGATGGGCTTTTTGGAACAAAGGAATATTCTGACAGGACAGAACGTGGACAGTATGATGATTACAGGGAAACCAATCAATGATGCCCAGGATTGAAGAGTCATCAGAGGGGAGAAAGAATACAAAAGGAGAGATTTGAGAGCAGCAAAAGGTCCCTGAGTGGGGAACCTGAGGCCACCATGAACAGAAAGCATACCATCAGCTGGTCTCACCCACCCCACTGCGTGGTGGTGGGCATTGGCCCTCAAACTCCAGGCTGCTGGCATCTGACATTCAAGAAAGAACCTCAGGGTGATATTTGCGTACTGGGCAGACGTACCTTCCTTCTGTGACAGCTCTAGGACTGATAGGTATAGAATTGGGGTGGGTTATGTTGTTTGCCTTGCCTACACTATTCTTATGCGCTGTCTCTGTGCATCAATACAATTTGCCTATTATTGAATAGAGATGGCATGGATGATCTGAGGTTTTGGATCCGCCTGGAACAAGGTACCTGAGTCATAAATCCAGTGCCACTAAGCATTTAGCACCAAGTGATAGAGGAAAGTGCTAGATAGCATTTTCTAAAGAACAAAGACTCAAAATAAAAGTAAGAAGCATGTAGTAAGTACCCTTTCTCCTATGAGAAGTACCAGAGGAGGGCAACCACAGTATAGAAGCATGATGTCCATGCAATGGTGCACTGGGATGTTGTGCTTAAGCCAGATAAAGGCAGAATGCTTCAAGGAGGAAAAATGTAAGGAGAAAACCATACCCATATGTCTGTGACTAGTAGGCCCGTGCGAAGCACCTAGTATTTGCTTCGGATTCAGCCAATTTGGGGGACAGTGATTCGATTCGGTGATTCGATTTGGCTACTGCTGAATCTCTGAATCTCCGAATCAGCCAGGCCCATCCCCCGCCCACTCTCCCAGCCTGGCAATGACTGCCCCGCCCGCTCTAGCTCCCAGCACTTGTTAAGAAAAAGCCCCGAATCACCAGGTGCTGCCGGGCAGGGGGGACCCTGCCTTCCCCCCACTGCATGGGTGGCTCTCCACAAGCCTCCCTGACCTCCCTATTGCTCCCCCAGCCCCCCCCCATGGGTGCCTCACCCAGACCAGCTCTGGCCCTTTAAGAAAAAAAAA